TGGATTTTGCTATTCTAACATCACCGTTAGGTAAAACGATTTTTTACACACATGAAATATATTAAATGCAGTGTGATTGTTGTGGACAGAACAAGGCCAATGTTTTATGAGTAGCATACTTTTGACCAGCGAACAAATCAATAGTATAATACTTTACAAAATTGCATACTTGGGCATGAAACTGTGCTTTTTGCTTTTCAACCATAAGAAAATCTTGTAGTTCAGAATCTCCAGCCTTTGTACTCGAGTAGTCCGATAAATCGGTCATTTTTTATGGTATTTTAAATTTAAATTGAATTAAATTAATATTCTTATTATAGGTTAGATCGGGTCGATATTTTCTTTTTCGTTTTGCACAGATAATTAAAAATTAAAAAGTCTACTCTAGTAATGCAGATAATACTCTGTCATATTATGTTATTGCGCTGTAATTGTTATTGCATACAAAAAATATTTAAAATATAAAACATTTACCAAATTACACTTATGCACAGTATTCTTATTAAATGTATTTCTTATTTTATTTCTTCTTTATTTAACATAATAGGTAGGTACGCATTCTATTTCTGTGAATGTATACATTGTTACCGATAGAGGGCGTTGATTTTTTTGCTGTAATACCTACATTGCGATTTGGAGAATTTTACACGACGGATGACTATCGGCCTGTGTTTACGTTTTGGTATCGCTTCTCGGCCTTTTGGCTAAGATCAAAGTGTAGTATCTGTTCTTTTCAGCTTAATATCTGAAAGTTCCCGCACTGCGGGACCAGTATATTAAACTGATTTTTGTAAAACGACGGGATGTTCGGGGCTCGCTCCACTCCCGTCACGGGTCGGCCCGGCATTGCAGTGCCGCCGGGATCGGCCCACTATAATACTCATGAAATAGTCTATCTCTAAGAGCTTTAACCCTCTTGAGTTAGCACTCAGGTGAGAAGTTCGATCCCAAAGATACATCAGGGCACACGGTTTTTTCAGGATTAATTAGGGTTAGGGACCCTAACCCTAACTTAGAGTGTAATGTAATAAACTTAGATTTATAAATCAAACATACTTTCAACTTATTCTTTACTTTATTTGTCGTAGTTTGTAACCCTTATTTTTCCAATTCTCAATGTTCATTTTTATCAATAAAATTTAATATTCTATCAAAAAGTAATTTCTGCTTGTCTGTCGCAAAAATAAATTTCGTAGAATTAAGAGCTAATTTGGCTAGCTCGGCTTTATCCAATTTAAATGTATCGATGCAAATACTATATTCTTGAGTCAGAGATGTAGCAAAAACTCCTTTATCATCGGTCTGAAAATGAATTAAAAAGTATCATATTAGATTTAAAAAAAGGACAAGTTTAAAGAAGTAAAAAATAAACTTACACAAAGAATAACTGGAACATCACTACTAAGTAAGTATTTAAAATGGTGTGAAGAATAATCTGCAACTGATTTTGTATTTACATTACTGGTAAGACAAACCTCTGAAACAAAAATCATAGTTAATAAATAATAATACTTCCTCCTTTAAGCATTCTTAAATCATTGATCAGATTGCATTTGCAATGGTCCTCACGCAAGTAAGCACTCATAAAGGGTTTTCATAAAAAAAATCTATACCTTTTTTAAAGTGTTTCAACTTTAATTTATTATTTTTATACTTTAGTTTTTTAGATTAATAATTCAAACATACCAACAGGAATTTTTGATGTACATAGCGCCTCCCAAGTTTGTTTAGTACCACCAAAATTTGGGTGA